CATGAAGCAAGGAAATGTGTAGTCCCACTTTCCATAGAGAAGACCTGGAAAGCAGCAGCAGTCTCAGGTGGTGCATTTTGGGATGTATAAGCTGAACTCAGCAATGAAAACAAGGAGGGTCCTCCTCCAGATGAGGCAGTAATTCATGTAATTCACCACTGAACATCATCCTTCAGCTGAAAGTGAAGGTGCAAATTTAGTTGCAGCATATACATAAGTCATCAGATTTTAAAAAGATAGAATGGTGTATTTTATTGTATTACATAAGCTATGCAGGGTAGAGGTGTTCCAATATGTAAGAAACAGAAATCGTTAACTGTACCTCAAATGAATCTAACTTACATTCTTGTAAAGACTGACAAAATTCACTCCATGGCTAGAATATGCATTGTGCAGACACAAAGAGGGTGTAAACAGTTTTAAATACAGGCTCTGACCATGGAACTCCTCAGCATCTACTAGAATATTCTTGAATTGAGAAGACTGTTATACAGGATTCATAATATTACAGGAAAAATACCTACTTGATACTGCTCCTGCAGGAGTATCAGAAAAATACCCCTATATTTAATACTTTGCTGTGCCAAGTCATCATGAGAGGCAACTGTTTCTCATGTCTATCTTTCATCCACAGCAAATAGTACCACATCAGCCAAAAAGAATCATCTTAAACCTTTGAATACTTCTGTAAATGCACTCTTCTACCTGAGCTCAAAGGAGACAAGTTTTAAATGTCTAGAGAAATGCACAGATGTATGTGCACATTTCTCCAGTATTTACCTCCTGCTGCAAGTATTCCCCACCTTTTCTGATTTCCAACAGCCCCTCAGTACTGGTCCCCAGAACAACTGTTTTGTTATTAACTCTACTTGTGGTTTTTCCTTTTTACGCTAAATTTTGTTATGCTGGTTTTCCTCACCTCTTGCTCCTCACCTTTAAAGTTTTCACCATCCAGTATAACTTCCTTGTGTGCAGAATTCATTCCATTCTGGCACAGTGCAGACACATGGTCTCTCTGACTTACATTCCCTGTCTACTCTGTCCTATGTATTCAAAAGGCTCTACGCAATATGGGCTATCCTGCCAATAAAGAAACTGGTATGGCTTACCAAATACCATCAAAGAAAGCAGATAAATACCTCATCAGACCCAGTACCTCATCATCTAGAGCCTTTTCTAATATTATTGATATGGTTTAGTTTTGCCATCTATAATTCCCAAGATATGTCAACAGAGAGGCTTGAAGACTGTATTTGTGATGGTTGTTCTTTAGTGGTCCTAAAATCTACATACTCCAGTGAGAAATAGTAATTCAACAGTAGCTCATCCTTTAACTGTTTAGCACCTTTGAGCTAGCAATCAGGAATTAATTTTAGTCTTGCCTTCTCTTTCCCATTCTCTCTCTTCTTTCATGTCCCTTAGCATCAGCTTAAAGCTCTTCCTGATTCTGCTCTTGAAAATACATTGCTTGCTTTCTGAATACCTACCCAGTGGCATAAATATTCAGACATCCTGACACTCCACTGTCAAATTCAAAGGTGTGTGATAACATGAGAAAGTCATAGAAGAACATGTATATTAATTTCTAGACTGTTACGAACAAATCCTGGGTTGCTGCAGCAAGATTCAGGTCTGTTACGAGTATAAAGTGACCCCTACCGTTCAAAAAGCAAATCCCCCCTTTTTCTTCACTCCTATGTTGATAATTTTAATTTGGTAGCATATAATTCTTAGATCAAGACATTGTTGAAATAGTCAGATGGAAGTTATTCCTTGATTGAAGAAGTAAGAGCAAAGAACTGTCCCTTATATTCACCACCCCAGAACTGTAACTTCTTTCATTACCCAGTAAATTAATAGGCACTATTAATGAATATTTATGAATATAAATAAAACCTCAATATCATGAACTTCTAGTACTTCATAAGCTAACAGTATGTCAATAATATATGAAAAAAGCAGTATTGCAAATTCTGTTAAAATATTACTATTTCAATGAAAACAACCCTCTTTACAATCTGTTTTCAAAGCCCTATGGTCTTCCAGTATTCATAAGTCCTATAAAAATGACTAACTACTGTACTGATTCATGTGAGAGGGAACATGTAGTTAATACCAACTATTCTAATTAGAACAAAAATATTTAAACAGAAACACTCAGTTGAATTTGGACAAGTCACCTACAGTTTCAAAACTTGATTTAGATGGTCACAGACTCTCATATTAATTCTCTGTGATACTGAATATTTGCAGTTCATATAATGAATGTCTAGTCAGCACTTTCAAAAGTGAAGCTTGATTAGGTCATCATTAGTAAATTTAGGTTTTCTGGGTCAGATTTGCCTTTTTAATAGGATATAACAACTCCATCCACCTTGTAAGAATACTCCGAATTCCTGATGATAAAATTGGAGAATATTTATAGAAACTAAAGAAGCAAAAAGAATATTAGTTTTAAAAGCAAACAACACAAAGACATATGCCTTCAAGTCACCATCTGCTTTCATTTCCTCCTACTCATTTCTTGTTTCCCAACCACCCTCATATCCTCCTACTTTCAAATTCTTGCTTTTTAAAAACAATCAAATTCTCCCTCCTTTTATCCAAGGTATGGGGTTTTTTTCCTTGTTTTTTCTTTTAATTGGGGCGTGTTTTATTTTGTCTTCCCCCATCCTCATCCCCAACCTGTAACAATTTCTCCTATTTTGATACTGAATAATTTTTACTATGGAGTATTACCTTACCTAGAGTCAATTTTAACCGAGGAATAAAAGTCTCACACAAATTGATTTGCATATATGTTAACATGTTTCATAAAACAAACACCAACCCAAGAACTCCACACTTTAAAACTTACATGCTGTTATATGCTTACACATATGATATATTTACATGTAATGTAATAGAGGCCTCTCTTAGCTGCTAGCTGAAAAGAATTCCCTGCAGAGTCAGAACCCAAGACCTCCAAAGCACAAACCAGAAATTATACACAAGTATTTTTAAGAAATCTACTTTAAGACCAGAAGCGCTTTTGTGTAAGTAATTCCCCTAATATGTACCACTGAAATAGCACTCTAGGAAATTATTACATGGCCTAAGCCTTTTAAGGCATTCACAATTATATTTTTGTTTTCCTGTCCATACAGGAAAAAAAGCAACCAAGGCACTCATTTATGACAGAATAGTATCGATATGGATGGATGTATAACATTTGTTTAATTTCCTCTAATTCTCTCTTCAAAGAAGCTGGAGTCAAACAAGTGATGATCTTTTCAATACATGAACTTTAAGAACAGGTAAGGCAGTATTTCTGGGCAACAGAATAAAAAAAAGGCAGTATTGTTTTCACATATAGCCTGTATGTAAGATATCCTAAACTCCCTTAAAATTACCTGTCCTTGAAAATATAAACACAAGTAGTTTGTCTCTTTGAATGATCCACTGAAGCAGGACAAGTGGCTATTTGACTGAAGAGGCAGGCAACAGGCAAGGACAGTCTGTACAAACTAACCTTGCAGCTCCCACAGTGCTCAGCAGGCAAGGGAAAAAAATTATTTTTAGGTTTTCCCTTCAAAAATTCATCCTGCTATTATTGGAATACTTGTAGCAACACATAAAAAGTCATTCTAGGTAATAGCTCCACGACTGGAACAAAGAAACATTTATCTCTTGCCTTTGTCACATCTTACCACAGGTTACTCCTCTCATTAAAGATCAATATAACCCCCCCTGCTTTTCAGCAATAGGGATTTTCTAGTGGTGCATATATGAGACGTAGCCTGTCCTAGAGCACTATTGCTTCAATTCCTTATATACCGTACCTTCAAAACAATTGTAGAAATAAGAGGACTGCTACCAAACATACACATAACCAGTTCTTTAAGCAGCTTCTTTGTGATTGAATGCAGCCAGTCACCTTAGTTTCACAGATGCAAATTCACTTAAAAAACCCTTCTGCATCTCATTGGTCAAACTTTAAGTTTTGTGAAAAGCTCAAAAATGGATGGAAAGTACTCATCTCAGGTAAGATTCTTTTGTACCTTCATCTGCTGTAGAAAGAGATACTATCTTTTCCTAAAAAATAGGGAAAAAAATCAGACATATCTTTATATTGAATCAAATCCTGATTTAAAGGTAGAAATCTTAAATCTCATCACATTATTTCCTAATTTAGTAATTCAGAGCAAGGACTCTAGTCTCCTGGATTTTTTTCCCTTTAGTTGACAGGCTGTTGAGGACTGAAGCTTGATTTGTTTTGAGGACAATGCTCTTTTGTATCCCTTAGCCCTGAGAACTGATATTTTGTGTGTCTGTTGTTGGCAAAGACTACAAACATGGAAAGAGTAGGTAAAATAGAAGTACACATTCGGAGATCATTCAGTTAATGGGAGAATTTGAGAAGGAAAGAGTTGTGATATTCCTTTCTGCAGTACCCAAATTATTCCCACCAATAACGTGACCATATGAAAAAAAGCTAACTGTTGAAAGAGCAGATCTTACCTTTTAGGGAAGAGAAGTAGTTATCAGAGAGCTGGAAGTATAGTGAAGGCTGTTATGAACACTAAACAGTAGTTTTACTCCTTTCCTGGAACCAGATTAGGCTCAAGAGAAAAGGAGGAAGAGGCAAAAAAAAGTGATCTACTATTAAAAATTAGGATGGAAACTTGTTCTGCTGCTGTTATGCAAAGGGAAATCCATAGCTATTGTAGAAACCTGGATTGCACATGTGACCTATATAAAATTCATAGGGGCAGCTAAAAGGTTTGGACAAAAGTTTAGCATGGCACTTTGAATAACAGAACACAGGCATCTGAATGATTTTATTCCAGTCAATATAGAAGTGTACCTTTCAATTCACACTTTTATAAAAAAATGACAAATCATTAGTCAAGACTAAAATATATAGTTGGTTTTCAAAGCATCTTTCTATATTGATGAAATATCCCAAAGGTAAGATTTGACAATGATTAAAAATGCATCCTATTGGCTCAGCGTACAGTTCATTGGAATATAGCTCTCTGAACATGACTACGTTCCAGATGGTTAAAGATCTCTTCTTCTGTTTCTGGAGTGAGCTGTATATTATCCTTGATCGGAGATAATGGATCTGACTTTTTACAAGAAGGAAGCTTTTCATACTCTCTGCACAAGAAAACCAAAGAACGCACAAGAATGTTACGATATTATATGTTTCTAACCACAGGCCTGTAAGAACACACTGGTTAAAACAAAGCAAGACCCCTCACCTCACTACACACAGATCTATGAATATGCCCAAAATAAAAATTCGTAATCAGAAGTTTATTTCACTGCAACTGAATAACTTCATTGAAAGTGATTTTAACTGTTTCACTTATCCTGTGACACAATGATAACTATTAGCTCTATATCTCAAAGACTGTATGTGACCCATTCTAGTCTTGGTTGTACATGCTTCCTTAAGATTGTCTTCTGAATAACCATAGTTTCATACATATCCTGTGAGTTTTGACGCTGGGACAGAACAGATTAGTGTCCCACATGATTTGTTTGCCAATAGACAATTTAATTCTTAAAAGAAAAGGCCAATTCAGAAATATTTTAAAATCTGGAAAAAATAGAATAGAACATCTAGAGCTAAGTAAGTCCCAGCAGTGAGAAAAACCTTTTTTTTGAAATAAATTCAGAAAAAAATAATTCCCTAAAAGCTAATAAACAATTACTTCGTTTACATAGAAGTAGTACATAAACAAAAATATATTTCCCCAGTATATATCCAGAAGTTACAGATGAACCAAAACTGGCTGGATAAAACATGGATGTTGGGAGCCAAGTCTTGCAATCATCAGCAGAGAAAGGAATGTAGTGCCATCTAGGCTCACTCTGCTCTATCTGCTTATATTCCAATAAATCAAAATACATGAGTTTTCTCCCTGTGAACAACCCCGGTCGGAAACTCCCAATCAAAGACCAGACAATACATACAAAAACACTTTTACTTCCTCTTTGAAACATTCATTCCTAACCCTATATCAAGAGAATAATAAAGTAAGATTTCTAAAAATGGTAATATTGCAAGGGATATTTTTTAAACAGAAATCAGTTTTTTGTGTATAACAGCCTACTATGAGGCCGAAACTTAGTAAAATATATTAATCTGACTTAACACGTGCTCACCAGTCTCACTACTCAGTGCAAAGAAAATAGTTGTGTCTCGCATTCAGTTTTGAGTTATTGAGAATAAAAATTTTATTTAAATAAGACTTATTTATTCATATTTATTCAAAACTGAGTTTACTACTTGGAGCTGGAAAAGCTTTGCCACCAGGAGTTTTTACCTGAGCCTGTGGAAATAGTGTAAGTTAGAATACCTATATTTTAAAAAAAAAAAAAGCCACTGTCCTTCAAGTTCACATCTTGTTGATATCTGCAGAAGCTTCAAATTAGCTAAGTCATCTGCACAAGGGAAAATAATAGCATTTTATAATGTGCAAAAATGTGTCTTGTAACCAGAGACCGGAGCTAACAGAAATACTCCATCAATTCACCATAGTCTTGAAAGCAGAACAGTTCTGAAAGGCATCTCAAAATGTGAGAAGCACGTAAAGTTAAATAGAAGCAATCTTGCATTCAATGAAGTTTGGCAACTTTTATGCAGCTTTTGCATTTAGAATTAGAAATGCCTTTTGATATTTGATGTTAAACAATGGTTATAATTTTCATATAAATTATGTTGAACTACATGTACTACTTCGATAAATGAACTTTCCAGATGGGAAAAACTCTCAGCTAAAGAAAAAAGTAATTAGAAGAGCATATTTACCCCAAATTATAGTTCATAGTTAGGCCAAGTTTAGGAAATTAGAAATTCTAAGTAGAAAGTGTAAAAAAATTAAAATTAACAAAAAAACTCCCCCCAATCAACCCTCTCCCCACAAAAGAAAATAAAAAAAGAAGAAGGAGCATACAGGGTAATAAGAAAAAGGGTTAAAGCAACTCACCTTTTAAATTGGAAGTTTTTCCGGAGTTCACCAATGGTGGCTTGCAGTCCCAGCTTATTTTCAGTATCACAGTGATTTCTCTTCTGCACAGGTGACAGCTTCCTGCTTAATCCACTTACTTTAGCTGGTATCAATGGCTTGAGCTTCGTTACGATGCGCGATCCAATACAACTGGATTTATGTAAACCAGGAACCTGTGAAATTTTAATATTACAGCACACACGGTTAAAGTGACAACCTGTAACAACAGATATTATGCTGTAAAGCTCATCATAAAAAAATAAAGTCCTTTACATTGTGTTGAGATAATGCAATCTGGATTGCCACAACAAGGCATACTTAGAAAGCTTCTATAATCTACAAAGTGACATCTCAAGCACATTAGACATAATGCAGCTGTGAGAACTGGCAAACAAGTTTCTATTGGTCTTCATATTCTACGAGGCTGCAAATCTACATTTCTTTTGAAAACAGTTTTTAAAGTTTATTGAATATTTATCTTCTCATCTGTTTACATGAGAGCACAACAAAAACTCAACGTCATCTCTCTAAATTTTAAGAGAAGCTACTCACTGGTATCATGCTCTGTGATACCTGCAACTCCATTTTTCATGAGAACTAAGCAGAGCACAGATATTGGCATGATTACCCCAAGAACTGTTAGACCTCTAGTTGGACCTTCTTACCCAGTTTCTGTACCTGAAACTGGATACCTCAAGACAGCTGTGCTTGGACAGAATCTCTCTCAAATGCAACCAGTCTTAAGTTTGCACACAACAATTAAAATACATGCCTCCATTATATAATTTATTCTAGTTATTCACCACCTTATCATAAAAAAAAAAAGTGCCTCGTTTTCAATTCATTTTTTTTAGTTTCCAAACACTGAATCTGTTTTTTCATATTTACATGAAACTCATTTTGACATGACCTAATTCTTATGTCAGTGTGATTTTTACATTTCACGTTCTCATCCCTGATGACAGTCTCTTAAATTCTTGTTATTTTTCTGGGGTCAATATCAGGCTAACTGGCTGATAGCTACTCAGACTGCTGCTATTGCATCTTCTAATACTGATAAAACATTGTTGATTGTTTTTGCCTTCTTGAACTTCATGCATAAACTAATTACTTCTTATTTTATTAATAAAGGAAACACTAAAGCCTGTTCTACAGGATTCTTTTCTCCTGTGAGTAGCTTAGAACATTTTGTAAATTAAATTATACCTACTGCCATCTATTTAATCACTCTATTCCCATTTGTACTACATGTCCATAATCATAGGACAATAATTAAGTACATTTAACATATTTTCAGACAAAGTTAAAACTTTCTTTGCCATATAAGTGCATGTATTGGTTTGCCTGGCCGGATTTCAGTGGTGTGGGGGCTGTAGAGGTGGCTTCTGCAAGAAGCTGCTACAAGTTTCCCCCACATCTGATAGAGCCAATGCCAGCCGGCTTCAAAGAGGGACTGGCTGCTGGCCAAGGCTGAGCCTATCAGTAAAATGATAGGAGAGGAACACCTCTGTGAAAACATATTTAAGAAACGGGGAAGAACAACTGCATCACAACAGCTGGCCGAGAGATGGAGGAATGAGAATCTGTGAAGACACCAAGGTCAGTGAAGAAGGAGGGGGGGGATGTGCTCCAGGCGCCAGAGCAGAGAGTCCCTTGGGTTGTGGTGAAGACCACAGTGAAGCAGGCTGTCCTCTTGCAGCCCATGGGGGAGGTGTAGATGTCCACCGTGGGGCAGAGGACCCCATGATGGAGTGGGTGGATGCCTGAGGGGGGCTGTGGCCCATGGGAAGCCCATGCTGGAGCAGGTCGCTCCCAGAACCTGTAGCCCATGGAAGAAAGGAATGCCCACGCTGCCCATCCTGCTACCACACACACTTGTTAAACAGTTAAACCAGAGTAGATTGCTCTATTTTTGTGAATATTAGCCTCTTTGCTGAGCTTGTAAGGATTGTGGAAAGTAATTAACAGTAAAAACTACTGGAACACTATTCATAGGAAAAATCTACACAGTCCTGGAGAGCTCAGTATCTTACAGGCATCTGTTAGAGAAAAGTTTATTAGTTTTGATATTACAATTGACCAGCTAGGCACTTCACATTTTGCACTGGAAAAATAAGAGTTGACAACTTCCCCAGATTGCCACTCTCAATTATCAAATTCCTCTAAAGATCAGCTAGGCTATTCAGCTTACCAGAATCAGAATAATTTATGTTTTAAGTGATTGACTGCTTCTTCCCTAAACCTGGAACTCATTGCCTTCACTATCTTTTCCTGTACTTAACACCAGCAAAGATGTCCCTTGCCTTACTCTTGCGGTAAGCAACCCTAAGAGAAAACTGAGCCATAAGAGGTGCTCTTTATCTCCACCGCTCTCCCATTTCAATTTCGGCTACTTGTTCTAGTGGTGCTACGAGCGGTACATGAGCCTGAGATTCTGGATGGGCTTAAGTTACAATATGATTCACCTTTTGGTTGTTGTTGCCAAGTTAGTTTTCAGCCAGGTCAGTTTTCTGGTCCGACTTATTATAAGGTTTATTACCAGCACACAAAGGAAGAAGAGGGAACACGCAGTCAAGGAAGTAAGTGGGAGAAATCCTCCCACTAACTGCTTGCTTTAAAATATCTCTGGATTTTCAGTAGAATTCTGTTATCTAATGAGCTCCAAGCATCCTGCAAATTTTTTTTATATTTGATGCTTATATTACATCGGTACTTCCATACTGCATATTCTCCAATAGTATATTCATTCTCCCAATATACCTTTAAGGTAAGCAAAACATATTAAATACATTCTTAAAAACAAAGAAACAGAATTCCGAATCCCAGTATGATTTCATTTCATTGCTCAGTCTTGTTGATGAGAAGCAGGCAAGATATTAATCTAATTTAGAAGCACTGATTTTTGTAATCAGGTGTTTCAGTCTAAAGATGTAAATTACAGCTTAACATAGAAGTTTTTAATAACCACAAGATGGCACTGTTATACAAAACACAATAGTCTTGCCTGGCAGAGAAACACTTGTGATTTTTACTGTTTACAGGAAAGAAGTTAGTGGGGGTGTACTGAAAGAATGAAAGCATATTCCTTTGACTAACCTATCTTTCGGCCAATTGTAATGTCAATGCCTGAGGACTTGGAGCACTTCTAGATGTTAAGGTCTTAGAAGTTCTGTAAACTACCTCTTTGAAATGTCACAGGCAAGGGACATAAGTTTATTCTTAGATATTTAAGAAACACACATAAGTCAAATTACAGGTGCTCAATCAATACTGAAAGAACCAAAATGCAGGTTCTGAAGGAAAATGGGCTGTCCTTCCATATTGATTTGTTAGTGTGGAACAAAGCTTTTAACTAAAACAATTAAGCAAAAAAGGTTGACTAAAACCTTTCCAGATTGACATTCAAACATTTTTCCTAGTCAAAGAGGAAAAACTGCTAAACTAGTGGATTCATCATGACAAGCAATGAAATAAGGTTGCATCTTGTGACTCTGTCTGGATTATGAATGTGACTGCAATTTGCATAATAAAACTTGTGTATTTAGCATGCCTGAGGAAAATAAAGAAGTGGGGGTTTTTTGCCTTAGCTTGGCTTCTTATTTTATACCAAAATGTTTAAAATCCCCAAACAAGTTGCAACTGTGATATCAATTATAGGTGGGCTGGTTATGGTTCCTATCAACTCTGATACAGATGAACAAGGGTACAGTTTTCTCTTGCCATCATGTGCATTGTTTAAGATTCTTTTATTAAGAGCTCTAGAATTGACTAGAGGAAAGTAAAAACTGATTTTCAGAGTTTAGTAGTACTCATAGTACAGTAAAAAGAATTCTTACCTTGGTCTTTATGATTCTATTTTTTCTGTCAGATTGAACAGCAGAAAATGCTGGACACTGAGTACACTGATCATCAGGCAGTTTTGAATTGAAGTCAGATTCCTTAAGAGAAAATTAATTTGGTTTTAAAAGAGGTTAGTGTATGTGGTTTTTGTTTGTTTCCTCCCCACACTCCCCCCATATTTGTTTTTGTATCTACATATACATACTTTGTAAGGTATAATGTTTTCAGCAGTTTTAAGAACTTATATAAAAATATGGGCTTATTTTCAGCAAGCTCCACTACAGTGACACACACGATTTCTGATAGGATTTCAGAAAAAAGCAGAGAACAAAAGCTAGCCTGTCAGGATTTTCTTACGATCCACTGTATTGATAGCAGTGGAAAGACTGAAGCCAAACTAAGACCAGAGAACAGACACAATTTAAACTAGTAAATCAATCCATCCTACAGAGCTATGTTAAGTATTAACAAGTTCTGCTAGCACAAGCTACATAATCCACAGGTTATCATTTCAAAGAGTTTGCTGCCCAAATTCTTTAATAACTTAAAATGAAAGCAAATGCTGAAACAACATCTAGTTTTCTTACTTCTGCATCTGAACTGTTGTTAGACACTTGTATTTCTGAAGATGCTAAACTGCATTCTGATGGCTCACAAGACCTTTGAGACTGCGATGATCGTTCCAGTTCTGTTAAAGTGGAGGATTCTTCTTCAGACTGGTCACGTACTGCCCCACTCTCTGCCTGTCCCCCATTAATCTGATCGTCCTGGAATGTCACGCAGTTGCTTCTCTGCTGGTGAAACTGCTGTGAAAATACAGTCCGAGATGGACCAGGATTTCCTGAATTATTTATGAGGCTGCTAAACCACCGGAAGCAATTTTTCTGCATTTCTCCAGGAGGTGTAAAGACAGTCTTTGTTGATTTTTCCGTTTCTGAAAAGTGAGAAACATCTTCTGCTCTATGTTTTACTCCCTGTTTCTGGCAATCCTGCTCCATATCTTCAATTAGATCACTGTCATCCTTCTTTGTTTTATTGTCAAACAAAAATGCATCATTGCAGAAAAACCTGGACAAAAAAAAATTAAGGCAAGTGAGAAGTTACTGCAAATGAGTATGCCATCTCCAAAACCCAATAGTTGTCTCTATCCATCAATTTTATTTTTGAAGTGCACTTTCAGACAGAAATCATTTTGTCAATAGGAAAACTCTTAATCTCTCAGGGATGCATTTAATCGATAGCAGTAAAAAAATTATCTGTAAACATGTCCTTCATTGACCAAAACACTAATAAAGTTTTCCATCTGAAAAAGAGAAACATCTAGGAATCCTACAAAATTTAATAAATTCTTAGTTAATGTAAAGCTAAACAGTAGCGAAATGCTTCATCAACTCTTATCAAGGAAACTAAAACTTTTCCGTGCTATAGCAGGAGATCCTAACAGCAAGCACAAGTCAGAGACTTTTAAGAAACTGAGCATTGGATTGGAGAAGAATCTACTATTACTGACAACTCTTAATTTTTGAGACAACATAACAAAACTTTCAGCTCAGGAAAGCTAAAGAACATAAGTATTAAGACTGTTCTGTAAAATTACACTGCGCAAACCCATTCAAATTATTTTAAATAAAAATTACCCAATAAGAGATATAAGTGTGATAATGCTTTGTAAAACAAATTCAAGTAGCTATGCCCCAATGTGCCCAAAAAGCCCATAACACACAGATAATTTAAAAAAAACCAAACCCAAATCAAACACTTAACAAACACAAAGTCCCTCTTCAAGTGCTGTGCAGTGGTCAGAAGCATCAATGGCATGTGATGGGCAAGAATATATAATTGTCATACAGTATGACCAAGTCTGGCTTTACTAAACCAAATAAAAACCTTTGTCAGCATAAGTCAACATATTCACTAACAGCTTACATATTTGGCACAAAGCAGCTACTTGGATTTTTTTTTGTGAGATATGACATATGCCTTTACCTGGAAAAGAAATATAGACAATTTTGAATTCATTTTGAATTCATTTTGACATAGGCTAGACTGTAGTAAAAAAAAAATTTTACTGCAGTAAAAAAAAATTGATTTTTTTTCTCTCTCTGTCACACATATAGCTCCATCTCAGCTCAGAATTACAGGTACATTAATACAGTTGCATAAAAAAACGTCTGAGGTGGCATTTTTCTCATTTGCAGTATTTGGGTTATTTCAGCAACCAGGATAGCAAACAGTATTTTGCTATTTATTAAACATGCCATGCAAGCATACCTGCTTCTTGTTCCTGGAACAACTACAGCGTCCTTCTCTTTGTTTTTCCTTTGTAGAAAGGAAGCAAATTTATTTCTAATCCTGGGCAGGGAGTTAGAGCTTTCTTGACTAACAGAATTCCCTGAAGAATCAAGGCTTTGTATTGCTGAGACATTCTTTTGTGCTTGACCATCGTGGTCACTCTCCTTCTTGATTTTTTTTGCTTTTGAAAATGAGTATTGGTTCAACAGATCTCCATCTGATATTTCTTCTAAAGAGAATTTAAAAGCATCACTGTAGAAGCATGTTCTAGAATTAACCACTTATGAAGAACATTACATATTTACCTCATAGGTTTAGAAGTATTAGAAAGGTAGGAACATTCTGGACATTAAAATTTAGAAGTCTTTAACACAGTTGTTTTCTAGTACATAGCTTTACAAGTAACTTGCTATGAAAAGGTAGGCAGAGTGAAAGTGGAACAGCTGAAATGAAACATGGTGTTTGTTTAGTCGTGTTTTTTTCAAAAACATTTTGAAAGCAAAACTAAATTTGACTTAAAGGCAGGTTGCTAAACTAACTACAAGGGAGTAGGAAGATATCAGGAGTAACAAAGACAAAAAAAGGAGCTCTAGTAGCATAAGCCAAGAGAAGGAAACAGCAGAAGAGAAAATACATATCAGATAAAGCATAATTGGAACAAAGTGCTCCTTCTATTTAGAAGCCCACAGTTTATTTCAGAACATATAACTTAAGTGGTGTAGAAGACAAGATAGCACAGAGTTACATGAAAAGTGAGAAAGCTGGAGTAAAGAACACTAATGCAGGGGATACAGGCAGCACGGTGTTAGAAAAGTACTGAAAACATCCTTTTGATTTTGTGGGATTTAATATTACAGCTCATTAAGTCTTACAGCTTGTTGAAAATAGAAAACAGACAATAAAAGTTAGTGTTAGGCCTCCAAAAATCTTGTGCAATCAATTCCAAAATAAAATCCTCTCTTTTTCCATGGCCTTCTCAATGTTACTTATATACTTCTTTTAACAAAAACATACCACTCCTTGGCCTTTTTGCCAAGGGCTCTTTGCCTGGAAGCTTCAGCCCTTTAACGCTAATTATCTTCTCCATGCCTTTGGTTGTTGGTTTCTCTAGTAAGTGCATTTTAGGAGGAACAGTATCTGCATTAAAGCCAGGCTTGTAGTTTCTGCTCCAAATGCTATTTACATGATTATCAGGTCTGTCATTCCAGCCACAACTTCTCTGCTGCATAGGCTACAAAAAAAAATAATAATTTAAAATTCGAGGTTTACAATTTTGCCTTAAATTCCCTGATTTAGCATTTGTGTATGTAGAACAACTAGTGACATACTCTATATAAACGTTTTCTATTTTGTTCCCACATTTCTCATGCTTTTCATACAAATTCATTTTCTTTTGTGCTGCCATGACTTCTTTCCAATATGGCACAAGTGACTAACCGCTCATCTCTGATAAAATTAAGTTTAAAATTTACTTCTATTCAGAAAGCCTAACTTGGGAAAATACTTTCCTCAGAGTTATTACTTGAAAGAAGTCTCTTTGAATCAGTTACTTCTGTCAATAATACTAAGAACTTAAAAAATGTCTCAAAGTAAAACAAACATTGAAGTCAAATATCATGGAAACTAAGATTTAACCTGTACAAAGAATGAAAAATATGTGTGTGGGAGTGTACGGTTTCTGTAACAGCAGAACAGGGTTCATTGGCAAGTCAGGTGCAGATAACATTCAACCAGATTTTTCCATAAATATTCAGACCCACATCAAAATCTTTATATATAACTTCAGAACAAAGATGTTACCTGTGCAGTGTCAGGATTATAATTATCTATTTGTTCCATTGTTTCGATATCAATGTTGCCAATGGCAATTTGAAAAGCAGTACCATCACCAAGATGTCTGTTCCCATTGGATTAAAGGAAATATCTGAATATTACATTAAATTTTAACAACTGTAGTATGTAATTTAAACTAGCTATTTCCCATTTTTGTGCTAAAGAGCATTGCTAGAATATTAACCAAAAAGCATTAATGCTACTATTTGTGGCTGAAGCTGACGCAACAGCAATTGTAATAGATGTGCAGTGCTTGGCAAAACAAAAAAGCCAAAAGGAAAACCTTCAATCATCAGCAGAAACTTGCCATCTTTCTCCTTCCTAATTTCTGAGATTGCCAGAGATTGGTGGCTTGACCATAAAAAGCCAGTAACGATTCCAACAGTCCCCTCTCTTTCTTAATTTTCCTAATCTTCCATGCTGAAATGTATGCGGCACAGACACGGCAAAATGCTAATTGTTCTATAGGAAGCGATATCTGCTAAAACAGGAAATGCTTAGATTAGGGAATTATTTGAACACGGATTGCAAGAATTAAACCAGCAGAGATTATAAACACACTTAACACAGGCAGAAATTAAAGACAGTTGTAAAGCAACTCAAACAGTTTAAGTATAACCTGTGTTTATCAAGATGTTTTCTGAAAAGAAGATCAATAACTTCTGCCTAAAAGATATGTCAATGCTAGGTCATTCAGTTACCCTCTGTACTTTAAAAAAAAAAAAATTAAAGTCAGACCAAAACCAAAAAATCCAACAAAACATCAACTTTGTAAGATTGCAGAGAAGCCAGGCTTTAGTGTACCCCAGAGATGCAATGAAAAGTCTTGAGATGCTACATCTGCTCACCCTTATTTCCCCACTCGGCTGTTTCAACATAAAGGATACCGTCCTGCGTAAGTTAGTGTTTCGGGATCAATATCATCCCCATATGCATTCAGAGGGACTAATTTCCGCTTGAGAGGATCAAAAACTAACTGATAAAGGAAAGTATTATTGGCTCGTGTAAAACCCTGTATGTATTCTTCTGGTACTGTTATATTCATCTTCAAGTACTGTCCCATTTTCTTAATAACCTGTCAACAACAAAAAAATTGCTTCAGTATTTCATTTAAAGAAATTACACAGAAGCTTAAACACATATTAACTATTAACTATTTTTACTTGTATTTAAATGTAATATGTGTGTCCTTTTACAACAAACAGATTCAAGTTAATCAGGGGAAGGAAAAGTTTTGTGCATTATTTCCGCATTCTCTAGTTGTTTACAATCACATAAATAACACAATTCAGCTCTTTATAAATACTTCTTGTCCAATAAAGTACAAAATCTGAATAGAAATGCAGAAAATCTCCTTAAGATGTGTTTGTTAAAAACAATGCATATAAAATTTTATCATTCATAGTGTCAGAACGGATAAGCAATATGTGGGTGTTTTTTTAATACAGAAAAAAGCAGAACTAATCACATTTCTCCCCACCTCCATTATTCGTCACAGAAGACTACATATTGATCTGGTAGCTCCTTCTATATATTGTTACTGCACCACTCTAAATGAAACTCCTAATAATTCATTGACCTCTACATTTTACATTTTCACAGAAGGTCAAGTTTATCATACTGCTAGAGGCAAGAGTTCCTCCCCCTCCCCAAACAATACATCAGCTGCGTTTTGGCCATGCATCCTAAATACAGGCAAATTTACTCATCTCATTGAGAAGTAAGACTTTGAACAGGCACTGCTCGACTATTTCATAACTTTTGACAACTCATGACTTTCCAACATTGTTGGAAGATAACAGTGATGAATGACATGACAAATTACTAATTGAAGAGTTTTCCAAACACTAAATCCTAATACTTTGCTCAAAATTAAAGGAAATGATGATTTGTACAGGAAAAGTTCAAAGTTCCCTTTTTACTTCCAGAAAAGCAAACCAAACCAGCTGTTTTGACGCCTGCTTTATCTAATACTAAACATTTTCTCAGCTAAAAATCATAGTTCTTTGTATATAGCCTGTGAGAAGAAAAAACTAAAACAACCAACATACTAAAGCATACAAGTAACTTAGAAAGATAACACAATAAGTTAATTAGGCTGCATATTTAAATGTTGTCTGGATTACATTTACCTGCTTCCAGGATAGCCACATAAGGTACTTTTCTTATTATCTCTTAACAACCTCTCTTCTCCCTTACTATTTACAGAGAATATATTCCCACTCTCATAACCTCTGTATTACCTAATACTAGATTTGTTTTCAATTCATACATTGGATGAGAAAAAAAAAATTAAAATTCTACCTTATTTTTTGTTTTGCTTCATAAAAAACTCTTATATATTAAAACATTATGTAAGAAAAGTCTGTATCCATATATAGGTAATTAAATGCAAAAAGGAAATCAAAACAGATTCCAAATCCCTGCTCCTCCCGCACACAGATAAAAGTGTACTTATGCAAAAGTAACAGTTAGCGGTTCTAATAACTAATCTGCAAAGAATCAGAATAGGTAATGAGGGGGGAAAAAAAAATAATCAAGCATCTTACAAAAAAAAAAAAAAAAGCCCCTCTGCAAATATAATGTGACCTTGAAGGATTAGAGCAATTCTTCATTTAAATTTACTTCAGTGTATTTCATTAGATACATTGAATTAAAGTTTATCTCCCCATCTTTCTAAAGGATAAGTAGAAAAATATTTCTTCTAGCATTCTCTTCAAAATGGAGGAATTAGGAGTCCCTCATATTTTTTAATTTAGTGTTAATTTCATATATACTGATATAGGCTCCCTAAAAGCCAGCACATACAGCAAAACCAAGTTTACCTTTATAATATCTGGATTGTTGGCTAATTTTAGTAATTTGCATGCTTTGGCTAACCCAATTCCATGAATTGACGAGAGGTAGTCACAACCAGAAAGAATACACATGTAGCGGAATTTCTCTTCTGTAAATACATTTCCCAGCTGCTTGCAATTTCCTAGTCGAGCTTGATCTATTTCTAGTCCATTTCCAAACTTGTCGATTTTCAGAAGCACCTGGAAATCAAGAGGAAGTAACAACAATAATTTTCACTCATATAAGTTAAGTTTGTTGCACTTGTTGGACACAACAGAGGCTGAGCCCTATTTTCATCTCTCCCATTTCCCCCATTTACTGTAGAAGAGTAAATCCATACATCAGACACATTTGGCAACTTCAAACTATGCTTTTAACACAGCAGCAAGACGTAAAGGCTATTAGTATCTTCTTCCATACCTTTTTACATCCAAAAGCTAAAAGATCAGAGTCTTCTGTAATTATAGCTTGAACCATGCCAGTCTTGTTAAGATAAGCCAACTGAGCATCAGCTTCATAAGGAGCAACAATACAATCAACTCCTCGGGCTCGTGCAGCCTGTGCATAAACAAGAAGCACACAAGCACTTTGCATCAATCTTTAGGAATTACTTAAGACATCTGAAAGCATAAGAACCTCTAAAAAACTGGAACTGTGATCTTTTTAATCACACACTCATTCTCCCCCATTGGAGACTGATATTTCATATTCAAAACTCAAGTTTTGAGCAGTTTAGGCCTATACAGACTAATATACTAAAATAACCTTTCCTATGTTGGCCCATAACACTGGGCTCTCAGCACTTGACCACACGTGCCAGCTTCAAATTCATGCAAGTTATATTCTGGACAAAGGCAAATAGCACTAGAAAAAATACCCTATGACTGCAGTGGAAGGATAGCAAAAAGGGTTTTTAAGCAGACTTTCTTTTTTTCTGTAGTCTATTCTCAGGAATTGGCTGAGGGGAAAAACATGGAAAAAAAAGAAGTGTTTAGCTCTTTTTGCAACAAAAGTAAAACTGTTGGTGTTATCAAAGACAGTTCATAGCAGTAAGGAGAGATGCATTTCAATGGACACATCATTATTTATATAACTGAGAATAATAAACTTCAAATGAAGTTAAAGTTTGTTAATTGTGCCTAGCAGAATCTAATATATGCAGGACAATTAGAAGCTAGGAAGAGGAGAATATTTTTCTTGCCTACATTTAAGAGCCATACAAAAGCAGAGTAAGACATGCTAACTTTCTGTGCAGATTTTTAAAAACTATCAGTATCAACAGCATTGACAACTTACTTTAATAACTTCATGAGCCATAACATGGGTAATATTTATGCTGCGTCCGAAACATTCCCTAGCTTCTGACAGTCTCCCTTCCTGCAACAATTGTTTCCCTTTCAGAAGACTGGCTTGACGCTTCCTGAAAGAGAAACAAAAATATCCACCAACCTCAGACTAATTTTCACTTAAAAGAAGTAGTTTGTTACTTTTTGAAGTATAAAGACAGATAGGAAAAAAACCCCAAACAATAAAACCAGATCTGTTTTGCAGATGAGCACTTCCCAAATCTGTTCTACGCTGCATTTTTTTTAAAACATAAGAATAACTAAGTCATTGTATTGACAAGGATGATTAGATTTGCATGTTGGAATTCATAATGCTTTCTCAGAAAACAGCAACAACTCAGGAACTGAAATCAGCAGTGTAAAAGAAGAGATGTACCCACTGTCAGGTTGCATTAAAATAGATAAAATGGAATTTGGGAGTATCTGACATTGGATACTTATTGGTTTAGAGGACAGAAGGCATCATTTACTTCATTTCAAATACCGGAAATTGTTTGCTCCACACCAAAGGAAGCGTATGCCCCATGAGAATTTATAAATAAAAACCACTAATGAAAAATTCTCACTGCTTCAGCAAGACGTCCCATTATACAGGGACATGAATCTAAACCTGAAAGAAGTTCATCTAATGATTTGTAGTGAAAGATGAGAAAGGTAGTGTTATTTTTAAATAAAAATATATCAGTAAGAAATATTATTGTGCAGAGATCATGAGGGCAGATAAACTAAAAGCCTTTAATACATTACAGGAACTAATGCTCAGAGGTTTACTTCCTTCCTCTATAAAAGTGCTTTCATTTATGAAGTGCATTTCTATTTTTGGAATAAAACCTCTAAGAAGAGGTTTGGATGCTTTTAAAATGTAAACTAAATTAAATAACTCTACATTGCAGGGAACTTTACCAGAGATTACTACATAGCTGAAGTCTGAGGTTTTTCAGTTCTGAAAATGAATTGTAGTGTTAAATACACTGCTTTGCTAGCAAACCAACACAGTTGAGTACTTACTCTCGTCGTGCCTTTTCCACTTCCTTCTTAGATGGTAAGGTGCATCCATCAAATACCAAAATTGGTTTAATTCCAAATGAGAGGAGCATATCAACAAGCCTCATACAGAAAGCTACATAACTGTATCAACAATAACAAAAGCAAGAAAAGAAAGATAAAATTTCCTGTTAAGCACTAGTCTATTGCATATTTTCTTTGCAGGAAAGGAAAATTGGAAGTTTATGACTAACTACTGTTCAAGAATCTTAATGGGACACATCTTTCCCCAGCATCACAAAAAGAGTAAGAACACTCAAATGCTGGGGAGTATTTTGTTTGTTTGTTTAGGATTTGATTTCATTTTACTTTTTTTTTTTTACTTTTTTTTTTTTAAACAAAAGAAACTCCCAACTCAGAACTAGACTGACTGCTCCCTACTCCAACACAAAGTGAAACAAGAACTCGAGTACAAATCAGTTTGATTTGCTACATTAGGATTCAGCACTGCCAAAACCTTTACAAGTTAAAATGGATTATATTTTCAGTTTCATAATGGCCAAGGAAATAGGAGGCAGATGAGCACAGTACATTATCTTTCCCTGAAGCCTTGTGAAAGGCAAACCAAATGCACTTTTGTAGAGCTGGAGGAGCGATGGGGTATTAAACCTCTTTGTAGAATTACCCATTTTTCCCTCCAGGTAGTGGATACGTGTCATGGGCAGACATGCAAATATATCTTCCTATACGCATAGTACAGAAAATATTCCAAAAGACAGGAGAGTCCCCCAAACCACATTAGCAGTGAAGATTGTGTGGACAAGGAAGCAATCCTCCACTGCCTTCCAAGACTATCCCTTAGTAAAATATCTGTAGGGAATTCCAGACTTCATGTATTCCCTCAGACCTCTGAATTCCTTACCTGTTATTTCTACAGACCTGTATGAGATCAGAACTATAATCTAACAGCTACTGTAAACACTAAGTGCATTACAATGCCACTGAATGAAAAAAAAAACAAACCCAAACTTAGGTTTCTTTTTACTTTTTCTTTTAAAGACACTGTTTAAAACAGCAAGAGCAACCTTTCCGCAGGGGGCAGGGAGAGTGGGACTTAGGAGCACTTGGAATCCAAGGATATGACTGATGAGCATTGAAGAAACTGCATTTAGAGCTGCAAAACATAAACTGAAAAATTAACTCTGATTTTTGAAAGACAGGAGCAAATGGGGTTGTAGATATATCACATCCCAATTTAGACAAATTTTAAAGTGTGAAAGGACTCTCTATGCTATAGTTAAAAGTGCCAGTCTAAGATCGGCAATTATGTGTGCATAGAAAGAAGACTTGGTCATGAAACATTCATATAGTTAAATTCAACCACTCCAAAGCCTCCTGTGACTACTAATGTTTCTCCTGTCAGTCAATTTCTTTCTCAACTGAAGTGTACCCTATTCTCAGAGCTCCAATGGATTTCTTCTACTTTTGACGGCAAGTAGTAAGGCTGGATGAAACTCTACAATTCTTCATATCAACAAGAGCAGACATTAAAAATTTGAATCCATCTGCAAACCACCAACTCTTTCTTGCCTTCAATCAATTATTTAATCAAAATTTCATAAATGAAGCTCGGTCTTGTCATGAGTTTGTGTCTGGCAGGGTGTCGGCAGCTCTTTGCGAAACTTCCAGACCCTTCCCCAGCCCCAGATAAAAGTTGGAGTCTCCTCTGGCCAAGGCCAGGTCAGTCAGCATCTCTGTGTTGGGCCAGGCTCTTTGTCCCATCTTTTGTGTTGGGGAGTTGTTTCAGAGTGGAGAGGGAGGTGAAGAAAGCAACCATGTGGAGAAAGGCATAGGAGGAGAGATCTCCCTGAGGCCTGTGGTGAGGATGGCAAGATGAGACCATACAGACCCAGGAGATCAGTGGTGGCAAAAAAACCAGAAGGCAGCCCATGAAGGACCCCATGCCAGAGCAGAGGATTATGCCAGAGAATGCTGTGACTTGGATGGACCCACACTGTGGGGAGGACTCATGTCAGAGAAGTCTGGGAAGCACTGTCTCTTGTGAGAAGAATATCATCTCGAAGCAAAGGAGGACTACGAGGAGTCCTCAGCCCAAGGAAGAAGGAGCACGGACAATGAGTGATGGACATACTGCACCCCCAATCTCCTGCCCTGCTCCACACCTCTGGCTGGGTGGAAGTAGCTGGGAAGAAGGGAGGGGTGAGAGGGTAAAAGTATTTGAGGTTTTTCTGTTGTGTTTTTTTTTTGTGGGTTTTTTTTTTTAGATCCGGTTGTACTTGCTTTCTCTCTTTTCTCCAACTCTAATCTAGTTGATTTGGTTGAAGAAGTGGTGGTAAACTAAATTTATATTTTCTCCCCAAGCCTACCCTGGTTTTTGCCCATGACCATAATTGATGAGCAAAAAATCCCCATCCTAATCACAATCTTTGAGCCTTTTTTGTTGAATGTTCTCCCATCCCTAAAGGGAAGGGAGTTGGGGTTAGCAAGCAGCTGCAGAGCTCTTGTTCCCAGGGGGGTGGGCTCAACCTATGATAGAACTAGATTAATCAGTCTAGCTTTATTTCTGAAAAGTTAAAGATGAATATAGTTTTAAATGAAGATGAAATCTATAACAAGAGTTCAGCCAGTTTTCCAGAGATACGCAAGAACTTATGCAAATCTAATCGCTAAGTTCCAAACCTGAATTTAAATTACAACCACAATTTCTGTTCATTTCCTTCCTCAGAAATGTAACTGTGCAAGTGAAATATCCATGCTAAATTAGAAAAGCTTACTTAAAACACAGCATAGTAAGCAAAACATCTTACACCTTAATCAAAGCACAACACATCCATCAGAATTCCTCATATCATTCCAACATTTGTCACAGCACTATTTACAAAGTATTACTTCATATAAATAAAGTTCCTGAAAGTAATACTAAATTGGAAACTTAAGAATTGCAATTACAGAATATTTATTTTGCACAGTTGGAAAGCTATTTATTTATAGACAATATTTCTATTTCCAGAAAATACCACTGGGACTGAGAATTCAGAAACAACAGTAAGAAGCAAAACTGCTTTAACTTAGTTTTTAGCTCAAGAAATGTCAAGCTAATAAAACTTTTAATTTGTAAGAGGGCCAAGACCAAAACATAACAAAGACTTACAGATCTGTTGGCTCTCCTCGGGCCAGCTTTTCAGCACAAGCATAAGCGCCTTTGTGCAGCCAACAGTAGGTGTCCACAGCTACTGTCTGCCCTTTGTATTTCTTCACATGGGTAGGCTCAGCAGCCTCCTTGATAAATTGCAGTAGGCCCTGAATCCCCATGATGTTGCTTAAACTGCAGTCGGAAAAATGAAAGGCATGAGCACAAGGTTAAGTCTGGATCCCTACACAAAGGATGTCGGGTCAAGTTGCAGAGAGGGTGCTGGGCGGAATCAGAGAAAGGAAAAGCTCCTGCGAGGGTCACCGTGCAACCTGCACAGACAAAGCTCCTTTCTGCTGTCCCCAAGAGATCAAAACCTTCAGGGCGGCGGGCAAGGGGCTGCCTACTGCCGGCGGGCCCGCAGCCAGGC